AGAATTCGAACGTTAGACGAAAATAATAACGAATTATACCCGCTAATTAAAATGTAGAACTCCCTCCTAATCTAAATTAAAATAGAAATTATAAAATTCCGGCCTTTCTCTTCCGGAGAAAGGTACTAAGTATTTGAACGTCCGATTATACCTTTAAATTAAAAAAAAAGACCTTCGCCTATATTATTTTAAATTACTTTAATATAGAATGCCTCTTCTAATTAAATATTAAAAATTAGATATTAATAAAAGAAGAGTTTTAGGATTATTTAAGTAATAGAATTGAAGCCGAGAGGATTCTATTATAAGCGCTAAGGTTAGGTAAATCAAAGGAGTACCGTCTAATAATCGAATTAGAGGAGGAATAGTATAAAGAATTTACGAAGTATTCCTAAGAAGGGAATAAATTATTAACGATATTGAAATAAGAAAATAAAGGGACGGGGAAGAAATAATTGTGTTAATTATAAATATTATTTATATTATAATTATAATAAAAGTCGAAGTACTATCTTTTTGACGCCTAATTACGCTTAAAAAACTCTTCGAAAAGCTTTATTATATAAATCTAATTCGCAATAATATTATAATATTATTACTACTAAAACCGGAGACTATATAAATAGGAGTAATTATACTACTATTATTAAGATAAAATATAATATATACGGGAATAATTGTACTACTATTAGAATTAAAAGTAATACGAACCGGGTTTATTGCGCCGCTAATACTAAGGCTGGAGGGAGTATAATTATAGAAGATATCTTTTACATATAACGTATAGTATCCTTTCTATTAAAAAATAGTAGTATTATAATATAAAGCGTAAGGAAGGCTAGTAATATTATTCGGAAGACCATTTTATACTAAATAATTATATATATACTTAATAAACTATTAAATAATATTAATAAAAACCACCACCACCAGAACCGGAGACCGCACGAGCAGGAGTGGCCGCGCCACTATTACTAGGACTGGATATAATGCGCGCGGGAGTGATCGCGCTACTGCTGGAACTAGAAGAAATGCAAACTGGATTTATTGCGCTACTAATACTAGGGCCGGAGGGAGTACGACTATAGAGGATATCCTTTGCGTATAGTATATAGTAACCCTTCCGCTAGAAGTTAGTAGCGTTTTAGTATAGAGCGTAGGGAAGGTTAATAATATTATTCGGGAGACTATTTTGCGCTAAATAATTATATATACGCTTAGTAAATTGTTAAATAGTACGAATAAAAGCGTTTAATTTTTAATAATATTTAGCCAGGCTATTTAATAATGTAATAACGGTTATAGATTAATTAATATTATACGTATTATAGAGGCTAATAGGGATATTTAATATATATTTATTAATAGTATAAGTATAGGTTACAGTTTAAAGGCTAGTAATTAGGAATAAAATATTAATTAAAGAATAAAGGTAAGAAGGAGAGGTGTACGGAGTTTATAGGAAGCCGAAACGAAGTAGGTTTTACTAGTAATAATCCTATGAAAAGCGTTGGGACCGGTAGAACGTTTATTAAATCTCAGGACCGTAGCGAAATCTAAAGTATAATAAAAGTAAGGGATTTTATAAATAATATTATAGGAATTAGTATAAGGAAGGGGAGCGATAAAAAGGATAAATATACTCGTTCTAAGGGATTTAGAAGTCCGGATTACTATAAAGGATTCGAAAAAATATTGTAAATTCTAAATAAATTAGGGTTATGAAATTAAGAAAAATTATAGAGCCCGGAAATACCTCCGGAGAGGAGACCTTAGGGTCGGAAGTAAAATCGATTAGGCTAGGACGGTTATAATTAAAGGAAATTATTTTAAAGGATATTATAATAAAAAAGAAGGGAAGTAGAAGGAAATTAGGAAGGGGCGCTATAGGGAGGATTATATAAATAGAGGGGAAGGCCCTTATATTACTAAAAATAAGAGTAAAACCGAAAATTAAAAAATAAATAGATAGGGCGGAAATAAATATAAATAGGAGTAACGAAACGGAGGGGTAGGGACGTAGACGGGAAGATAGGATAAAAAAATAGAAGGAAGGCGGAGGAAGGGGTAGTAGAAATTATAATAGAGAAGTGGCGAAGGGAGGCGGCGTCCTTAACTATATCCCTATTATTCTTATTATTTTAATATTAGGATAATATAACAAAGGAAGAGACGAAATTAATTTACTATAGTAATAAGTAAGAATTGTTATAATTATAAGCAAAGTAAGAGCGGCGTAGGTAAGCTATAGCCGAAATAAAGCTAAGGGTTTTCATTTGGCGGCGCTTAACGCCGTACGGTTTTCCCCTTTAGAGAATTAGAGAAGGACCCTATACTAATAAGGCGCTATAGTTTTATAGTAAGGGTAAAAGAATATTATTAACAATATAAATAAAAATATACAATTTCTAATAATATTCAACCAGGCTACTTAATATGATAATAATAATTATAGACTAAATAATATTACGGGCGTTATAAAATCTAATAGGAATATTTAATATATATGTACTAGTAATATAAATATAAAATAAAATTTAAAGGTCGGTAATTAGGAATAAAACGTTAATTAAAAAAGAAGCGCGAGTAAAAAAAGAATATAAGGCTTATAAAAAGCCGAAACGAAATAGGTCTTACTGGTAATAATTTCACAAAAAGCGTTAGGATTAATAAATCTTTTATTAGATTTTAGGACTATAATAAAATTTAAAATATAGTAAAGGTAGGGGATTTAATAAATAATACTATATAAATTAGTATAAGGATTAGAAATAATAGAAGGGATAAATATATTAGTTCTAGGGGATTTAGAGATTTAAATTATTATAAAGAATATTAAAAAATATTATAGGCTTTAAATAAATGAGGGCTATATAATTAAGAGAAATTATAGAATTTAGAAATACTTTTAAGGAGGAGACCTTAGGGTTAGAAATAAAATCGATCGGGTTAGGACGGTTGTAATTAAAGGAAATTATTTTGGACGATATTATTATAAGAAGAAAAGAAGGTAGGAAGAAGTTAAGAAGGGACGCCGTAGGGAGGATTATATAAATGGAAAGGAAGGCCTTTATACTATTAAAAATAAAGGTAGAATTAAGGGTTAGAAAGTAAAGGGACGGGGTAGGGGTAAATATAAATAGGAATAATAAAGCGGAGGGGTAGGGATATAGATGGGAAATTAGGACGGAGAAACGGGAGGAAAGCGGAGGAAGGAATAGTAAAGGTAAAAAAAGAGGAGTAGCGAAGAAAGGTAACGTCCCTAACTATATCCCTATTATTTTTATTATTCTAATATTAGAGTAATATAGTAAAGAAAGAAACGAAATTAATTTACTATAATAGTAGGTAAGAACCGTTATAACTATAAGTAAAGTAGGAATAGCGTAAGTGAATTATAATTGAAATAAAGTTAGGGGTTTTTATTCGGCGGCGCTTAATGCTATACGGTTTTCCCCTCTAGAGAACTGGAGAAGAACCCTATACTAATAAGGCGCTATAGTTATATAGTTAGGGTAAAAGAATATTATTATAATAAATTACTTTATTCTTAAATACTTAGTTTTATATTGTTTATAATTAAATCCTTAAATTAGAAGAAATTTTTTCTAATTGTTTAAATACTTATCCCTAGATAGTCTAATCTCTAAAAGACTATTTAGTAGATAAAAAAGAAATTTAAATTTTAAAAGAGATAATTATTAAATTATATATCTTAAAAAGTATTTACTAATTTATAAATTAAATAATTGCTATAATGAAAGAAACGGTCCTCCTTAGTATTGAAAAGAACCCGGGCGTAGCCCCCCTCCATAAATTAATTATTTACTTTATAATAACCCTACTTATTAATAATAATAATAATAAAATTATAATTGTCCCCCTCCGTTATATTCGCCTTTCTACTAAATAGATTGATCCGCTTAAATTCTATAATTAAGATAAGGAAAATAATATATTTTTCGAGGCTTAGTACGATTCAATTCAAAATGAATTCGAGATTAATGTTAATTATTATTTTACCGACCGCGTCAAATTTCTCTATATTGTAAGCCGTTTCGCTGGATATGCTTTCAAAGATTTAATACCCTACTTTTCTGAAATTTATCTAAATTAGTTTATTATTTACCCTAATTTTATAACCTATTCATAGTATAAACATAGCGATTCTAGTTAAATTTATTTAGTTTACCTTAGGACTGCTTTATGTTGTAATATAGTTCCCGAATGATTATATTTGTATTTTCCTAGGCTGCGGCGAAATATAGTTCTCCCATTGTAATTCGTAGACTCCTATTTGCGAACGGTATGTTTAGGTTATATTTGGTAGGTGTAAAGGGAATTCTTACTTAATTATATTTGTCTATGAAGGGCGACTGTAAATTTAGTTAGGGAGTTGCGATTGACTTGTATATATAAGTTAGTTGCGTATTGTTACTTCCCGTCGACTGTTAGATGTATATTAAAAATTTTAATTGTATATTATAATATAATATACTAGTTGCCTGCCGTCTACCTAGCGTACGGCCTATACCTACCCCGGTACTTGTACCTGCACCCGGTAGTCCTAGTACTGTACCCCGGCACTTGTACCTGTACCTAGTAGTTTTAGTACTATACTCCGGTACCTATACTTGTACCCGGCAGTCCCGGCATTCCTAGTACTATACTGGCGCCTGGCGCGTAGCGCCGGTTAGGAAAGTACAATAATATATAATGCTGTAATACGATAATATAAACGTAATAAATACTAAGTAATAGATTAACTGGATAGCGATATGATATAATACGATAAATAAATATAAATAATACCGCCTAGTATTAGACTTCTAATAGCTAGGAGAAGTTCGGAAGAATAGTCTATATACTATTCTATATACGAGCAAAGAGAAATATACCGGCTAGATATCATAATGTATAGACTAGTATAATGGGTAGACTTCTAGGTATTTGATTGAATAAGGTAATAAAGAAATAAAACGATATTAATATATATTATCTTATACCTATTAAACGGAATATTAGTAGGAATTAAACCTATAGAGTAGTATACTATATAATTGTACGCACCTTTTCTTGTACTATATAGGATGCGTATATTATATTCAATTACAAATGATTATAGTAGTTAGGTAAATAACTCGGAATAGGATTAATAATTGCTACTAAATTACAAATATATTAAAATAATATCCCAATTTATCAAGGCTTATTTCAATTAGTAGCAGGGCTTATAGCAGTCCTTAAGCTTCGAAATATCGACGATATATATACAATTAATTCGAATAGTTGGAAGGCCAATGATAATGGGCTTGCTAGTATCCTTAATCATTTTATGGTCGAACGATATAATAATATTGCTTACAACTACCTTTATTTGTATAAGAAAGATATAGCGTTTATACTTATAAGTCATCTCGTATATAAAAATATAATCGATACGGCCTAAGTCCCCATTCTTATAGTAGATATAATTGCTAACGCTAAAGGTGTAGTGTAACGGGTCTGCTAGAGTATTGTACAGCGAGTAGTCGTGTGTGGTTGAAATGCTATATTTGACGAAGAGAGCAAAAGGGAAGACTGCACCAAAAGGGTGCAGTTGAAAGAAGGTTTTATGGTCGGGCGCACGGGCCAGGCAAACATGTGGATCCGACCAATCAGGAGGCTCGCATCCTTATCGATACGGCCGACCCGCCTTAGCAGACTTAGCAAAGCCGAGTTTTTGATCCTGGCCGCTAGCCCCATGACATGTAGCGCTTATAGGCCCTATAGAATATATATAAAGTTAGTAAAATTATTATACTATAGCCCCTTGAATTGAGGTTCGGATATTATTATAGAATTTGTTGTAGAGTTTCTTCGGGGCTGTATATAGTTTGGATTCTTACACTATCGTTGTAATAATAATATAGTATTACGTACTATAATATAAGCGGAATATAATAGCATATTATACCGACGGGTATATAATATATCTGCCGTATTCTAGCCTAGCATCTTCTATATATAATAGGGAAAACTTCCCGAGACGTACCAAAATCCTTGAGGTACGCACCTCAACCCAGGTGGCGGCTGTCATGTAAAATATACCGTTTTGAGTGTAAAAATCGTGATTTCTCATATTATGAGCTGGGTCAAACTACTAAATGCCCTATACAGTCTTACTAGCAAATCTAACAACGCCAATCCGGTAATGCTCTCGTAGTATTAAGGGGTTGTATTATTCTCTACTCTACTCTAAATACTTACATTTAATAATTCAGAACTTATATTTAGGAGTAACTCGGGGAGTTTAGAGAGTTTAGAGAACTTAGAGAGCTTAGAGAATATAGAGGAGGTGGATAATAACTCGATAGCCTCCTCCCTTACCCTCTCCTCCTTTACCCTCTCCTCTCTTACCCTCGCCTCCCAATATCTACCTAATTCGTTATCCTTATCCCTATTATCGTTTACTACCTCGATATATTTACATACCTTACTCTAAACACGAACGCGGGCATTACTAATATCTATTCCTTTAATACTAGCGCCCTTTTCGTACTAGGAATAGTAATAGCGTACGGAAGCTTATATACTATTCTTTAATTTACCCTTTGATATAATTAGGCGTAAGGTAGCCTTACTTTCTGGTAGTAGTATAACGAATATAGGTTCGCTACTAAATAGACCCCCCTATTTATATAGGCGGCCTTTAGGAACTACTCTCGAAATTGGCTTAAATCTAAAATATCTATTTATTGTATTCGAAAAACGACGCCGAAACCGGAAACGCCGATTTCTGGTCGAGGAGTGCTCCAAAACGAAAACTAATAACAGCAATCGACTTAGGAGGGTCATTTACCTCCCTCACAATATCCTACAATAAATGTAGTAGCAGCGTTATATTATCGTTACCGATAGTTATAAATAGTGGTATTTATAGGTTCGAAAATAGTATTTATAACCCGCTTATAGAAATTTCTATATATAAGGGCCCCGAAATTATATTTATTACAAAGACTTTGGATAAATTAGAGGAAGATAATAAAATATTGAAGAAATTTATTATTAGAGCGAATAAATTTGAAAATTATAATATTATTTTAATTAAGAACTGACGTTGGGTTCGAAAATTATTTTTCGAATTTATATAGGCTTATATTAGAAATAACAGGTCTATACAATTTAAAATTAATAAGGTTAGGACCGACTAATTTATTACTAAGAAGGATTTTAATAATTTGAAGAAGGATATTTTGAAGGAGATAAAAAAAAGGTATTTAGGAGGTATTGAAATAATAGGCCGATATTATAGCGAAAATTATCCCAAGTAGAATCAATACTACCCTCTAATAATTATTTACTACTACTATTAAAAAGTTTATCCCTTCTAATTTCGAACGGTAGTTTACTATTAAGGGAGTAATTATTATTACTAAATTTATAGATAATTCGAACGAAGATACGAAGACGGCCGTAATAACGACCCTAGGCCAGAAGAAATTAAACTTAATAATTAAAGCGGCAATTAAAATACTAATATTTTGAAATTGAATAATTATTTTTAATATATCTATATACAATTAATATTAGTAAAATTAGGTATAAGGTATAAAAGTGTTTAGTAAGGAGGCTTTTATTATTATAAATATTATAAATATATTAGTCCAGGGTATAATTTATAATAGTACTAATAATTATACTATATCGCAGGTATTAATAAATATAGCGAGGAATACGAATAATAAAGTAATTATTATAAGAGTTCGGCCTTAGAAAAGAAGAGACGGAGAAAATAGAAATTTATTCCTAATAAAATTTACTATTTCAAAGGCGGCGAGCTTCCTTTAGGATGATTTCTTCCTTTAGGACGGTAGTATATATATTTTTATAAACCGTCCGAAATTTCGAGCAACGTTTAATAGTACTTTATATATTAGGGAATTGAATATATAATAAAATTCTATTGCTAAGAAAATATTTATATCCAATATAGTAAAGTTAAATACGAAAGAAATTACTTTAGTAAAGTAAATTGCCTATTATATAAAGATAAGTTACTCGTTTATTATAGATTGTATAAAAAGAAGGGATATTTATTTATAATTATAAGGATTGCCCCCTTTTTTAGAAGGTTATTATAAAAGCGTTTATTATATACGCTGAAAGGCTACGAACGTTCGCCCCCCTTCGTAAAAACCCGGCTAGAAAGGTATTAGAGCTAGTAATAGAGATTATGAATAAGGGTAATTTACCGGACGCTCCTTCTAGCTCCCGTATTATTACTATTTTAGAGAAATAAATTAGAGGAAGTATAAAGAGAGGGCGGCTAAAAAAAATTATTGGCCTGACCCTCCAATTGAAACCCTTAGCCTAATAGAACTTTATACATATATATTACCTATACTCCTGGAATATATAGAGTTAGATATATAGTAGTAATAGTATTTATATAAGTATAATTCCTTTAAAGGAAGTAATACTTATATCCTCTATTAAGGAATTTATAGGAAGCCTATTTTAAAATAATTAATAATCTAATTAAAAATACTTTATTAGAATATAGGGAAGTCGTATAAAAGAGGGATATTTCTATTTGAATAATAGGGAACTTATGATATTATAACGATTTAGGAGCCGGGTAGAAATTTATATAGGGATATTTATTGTCCTAAGGGCGGGAGGTATTTCGAAATTAATTATTTGAAGAACGGAAGGGCTATAACATATATAGATAAGAAATAGAATGTAAAGGACCTCGATTTTTAAGCTAAAGGGGATTAGACTATAATAAAATTTAAAAATTTAAGGGATCCTCCGATTATTTATTCTATTTATTTACCTATTCTAATATAAAAAATATTGAAATATTAGTAAAGATTCCTACTCTTTAAATTCTTTAAGGCCGGGCCCCTAGTAAGAAATTAAATTATTACTATTAAGGACTTTAACTTCTACTATCCCAATTAGAATTTAGAGAATATGATTATTTTAAGGACCATACGCTTCTTTATATAGGTATAATATTGGAGGCTCGGTCTATTTACCCCCTATAATAAATTAAGAAGGTTTAATAATATAATATAAGGAAAGAGAAATAGAATAGTTGAATATATATAATTATTATTTAGGGTCAAAGCTGAGTATTAGGGTGCGAAGTAGTACGAATAAATCGGTTTAGACTATTACTTTTAGGAAATTTAACTTTAAATAAAAAGGAAAAATAGGAGGGTAAAAGAGGAAGGAAGTTATAATTAGAATTTTATAAATATAGTAAAAGTGAAGGAAGCGGCGGAAAGACGGATTTCGGTCCCGGAAAGGATCGATATTATAGGAAAATTCGAATAAAATTTTTATAAATTGAATAAAGAATTTACTAGTATTATAAAAGAATTTATCCTATATTGGAAGAAAGGTTGGAGGAGAAAAACGAATTGATAAATATTAAGATATAAAATAGCTATAAAGGAAATATAGTAGAAGTATTAAATATAATTTAAATACTAAATACAATCGAAATAGAGGAAGTTCGTTAAAATAATAATAAAAAAGAAAAAGATTATTTCGAAAGTATAGCGGACTATATAGTACGAAGGCGTTATTAAAATCTTAAAGAACCCGAGTTAATTCTAGCCTTTAGAAAAATAGGTTTAATGTTAAAATTATTATTTAATAAACCTACTTAAATTATTAGCCCTCCGAATTAGTAAAGGGGTAATAAAAATCGAAGATTATAATAGTAAGGCCGAAATCCTTACTGATTACTTCTTTCTAAAGGTAGATATTCTAATAAAATATTTATTGGATTGGATTAAATTAGTAAATAGCATTAATCCGATAATTATTGCCGAACTAATTATTAAGGAGGATATTCAAAATATCCTTTTCTAAATAGCGTTTAATAAGGCCCTAAGTATTAATTAATATTAAAATAGATTTTTAAAATTGTACGGATAATTATTCTAATAAATAATAATATATTTAGTAACCCCTTGCCTCCAATTCGGATACTTTCTTTAATAATTTAAGAATATAAGAATAATTATCCTTAAAAAGCCTAGGAAAAGTACTACCTAATAAAAATTAGCGGGTATATAGAGACTTATATTATTGTTTAATAACGTTAAAAAAATCTTCGAAGCCCTTATAATTCAGAAATTTATATAGATAATTAAAGAATTCAATTTTTTACCGGTGGGTTAAATAGGTAACCGAATAGGCCGTTCGATAAAATTTATAGTCCGGGTAATTATTAATACGGTCTATACGGTTTAGAAATTCGGGGCTGTAATATCCTTTATACTCTTCGATTTAAAGGGTGCATTTAATAGAATTAACTATGAGTAGCTTTTATATACTTTATAGGAAATATAATTTCCAATATAAATTGTTAAGTAAGTAACGAACTTCGTTACTAATAGGAAAAGTGTTCTCTTTTTTAACATCAAAATATTTCGCCCTTATACTATTATAGTAGGCGTACTTTAAGGCTCCCCCCTTTTACCTATCCTTTTTATTCTCTTTATTACCTTTGTCACGGGGCGCGAGCAAGTACTAAGCTAAGACTTTGATTGTTGTGCGAGGAACAGGAAGAGAATCCTGTGCGCGTACGAGAACTATATAGGGCATGCTGTAGATCCGGGTATACGGACTATAGTACGTATGTACGTAACTACTGTATTATACTTAGACAATTGTACGGCTAGTTATACTATTGTAGTATAGTACCCTTTTATATATAGGAATATAGTAGTAATGCCTATAATACTACCCCCTTTTCAAAACGAAGTTCCTACTCAAAAATCTATTATTATTACTACTAAAGTGGGCCTCTCCTAATTTTCCTACGGCTACGTCTGATTAAGTGCCGGTAAAAAGTCTTACTAAAACGGGAAGTTACTTAATACTCTCCCGGATTCAATTCCCGCTTAAAGGTAGAGTACTAATTAAAATATTACTAAATTTAACCCTTCCGTCGAAAGAGCTATTATTATCCTTAATAACCTATTTGTATATTGTAAATTAATTTAATTAATATATATAGAGAATTTTAACCACCTTTACTATTATTAACCCCCCCCCCACCCCGGGGGTATTATAAGGACGCCTATAGTATAGTAGTTTATATAAAACGTTTATAGCCGCTATTAGTATAAATTCGAAAGTTCGTACATTTAATTCCCTATTAGTAACTATTTTTCGTATAAATACTTAAATATATATTATTAATATTTCTTAGATCCTCCTTATCTTTTAATTTTGTCCGTTATAGGTATTTAGTATGAGTATAGGCCGTCCGGGGGAATAAGAGACGTATGACCGCTATAAAACGTACTATTTCTCGGTATTATTAATAGTTATTTTATAAAAGAGTATATTAGGAGGTATTCGATTAGGGTATACGGAATAAGTCGAATTAAACTCCTTTTTTTTATTTAACTCTCCGCTTACCTTATATTTAATTGTAAACTTTACTTAATTTACTTATCTAGGGATTACTCTAGTACTAATAATAGTAACC